CTTTTAAGTGGAATTTATACCTAATTTGAGTAGCTAGGTTGGTCATCTCTGATGTCAGCCAGTTGTTCTGATCTTTGTCTTGATCTGGAGTAGACTTTTCTATACATTAAACCAACCAAACAAACAACATTAAACATACTTCTAGATACCCAAATACATTTTAGCAAAATAATAATAATCGCGAATTTGTAATATAACAGGTGGGGTGGGGTGGGTGTTGGTTCTTATTTTAGGGCCACTCATAAATCTGTAACCCAGGAACTGCCCATGTGTTTGTGTGTGTGTATTATGTCTATATGTACATACTAAACCAAACTCACTGCCATTGAGTCACTCCAACTCACAGTGACCCGATAGGACAAGGTAGGACCTTGTGGGTTTCTGATACTGTTTATGGGAATAGAAAACTTCGTCTTTCGCCTCCATGATGGTTTTGAACCATTCACCTTGAAATTTACAGCTCAATACATAACCACTAGGTGGCCAGGATGCAGTTCTCTCTCTCTCTCTCTTTCTCTCTCTCAGTTTGCTCGCGTGTAGTCTGGGCAGACCCGCCACTCTCCCCTGGCTGTATCTTCATAATTCTTTTAATGAATCTCTGTTGAAAGCCCTCATTGTTTGGGACCAACTGTCGATTACACTGGAATTGTCTGCTGTGTGGGAGGTTGGCCCCTGCTAGCCCCTCTGTTGTTCAAGAGCCACCTGTATGGGCAATGGAAATCTTTTGCCTCCCTTTCAATTTCATTTCATCCAGTGAAAAATTGTACAGTTGGTGATACCTTTCTCTTTGGGGAATCTTCTGCTTATTTCCTTTAGCCCTCTAACCAGAAGCAGTATTCTCTCGTCTTTCCCTTATTGGGTGTAGTTTTAGAGGCTCAAGTAGATGGTACTTTCTCTAACTTAAGGAGCCCTGGTGGCTCTGTGGGCTAGGTCTTGGGCTGCTAACCACAAGGTTACGGAATTGCTATGTCGCTGTTGTTGTTAGGTGCCGTCAAGTTGGTTCCGACTCATCGCAACCCTATACACAACAGAAAGAAACACAGCCCAGTCCTGTGTCATCCTCACAATTGTTCTTGTTTTCAGCCTATTGTCACAGCCACTGTGTCAATCCACCTTGTTGGCGGCCTTCCTCTTTTTACTGCATCTCCTCTTTACCAAACCTGATGTCCTTTTCTAGGCACTGGTCTCTCCTGACAACATGTCCAAAGTATGTAAGACCAAGTCTCGCCATCCTTACTTCTTCCAAAGCAGATTTGTTTGTCCAAAGTACGTGAGATGGTTTTGAGGTGGTATCAATTCAATGGCAGTGGGTTTGGTAAAGTCACAGCAGAAGCTTAGTCTTGCTCCACTTCTTCTTAGCCAAAAGGCCCAAGAAGTGATACATTTAGTCTCTCTGCTGGTCAATGGAGATGACAGTCTCCAAACACTCTGTTTTTGAGAGTCCCCATCTCACACTTCTGCCCTCTGCCTTCCACCATAAAGCTGCAGACATCAGCTCTTCCTGCTCCACCCTCCTCTGCAGTTGGGCCCTGCCTCTGAACCAGGAGCTAAGAGATGGCAAGGGTCTATTCTGGGGGCAGCAGCCACTGTGCCATCTCTTTTCTAAGGGTGGCATTCAGTGGTAGTGAGGCATTGTTTAGTCTCAGTGCTAGACTTCCTGCCACTGGCAGCCTGTGCAGCATGGTTGTGATGGTGGGTCTGGAGAGCCTGTGTCCCAGCCTCTCCAGTGGCTGCTTGGTGCATTTCCATTCTGAAGAACACCTGCCCCAATTGGTGTTGGTTGCTGGCACCTGATTGCTGTGTCTCCTGGTATGTGTGCTATTGTACCCTTGTAGTAGGTTCTTGTCTGGGCTCTGTTCCAAACTCTCTGGCTTTGGGCAAATCACTGAAACATTCAGTCTTCATGTCTAAAATGAGGATATTCAAGGATTTTGAAGATGTTTTCTACTCTGCAAGGCTATTATTTCCATTTCTGCAAAGGGACCAGCAGGATACTGGCCCGATCCTCCTCTGCTGCCCACTCCATCTGTGGGTACCGCAGCAACTCCATGCAGGGGATTTCATTGTTGAGTGGGTATTCCTCATGCAGGCAACCCTGGACTCTTGTGCCTGCTTGTAACCACACTGACCAGCTCGGATTCATGGGAACTACACTGTGCAGAGCCTTGGCAGGTGTAAAGATGGTCTTTGTTCTGTGTTTAGTGATCTGATTGAGGGAAAAAATATGTCTGTTTGGTTGATAGGTTTCTGTGGTGATGTTGACTCAGGCGAGAGAACCGAGACTTGAAGTCATCAATTGTAAAAATTACATTTTAATGCAGTGCTGTTGGCCAGGAGACCCCAGTGTAGAAAAAAACAACTTTTTAAAAAATAGTTTTAACTGTAGAGTGGTGCAACTAAGGTGAAATTGTTTTTCAGAACAGCAAATAATGCAGTAATATTAAGGGTCTTTTCACTGTATGTCTGTCATCCATAATGCCTCAGAACACACACACACCAACAAAAAACAAATCAAACCAAACTACCAAGAAAAAATTATGCATGATTTGTAGACCAGCCACATTGACACCCAGTTTCAAATGTAAAGACTCCCCAGGTGACTCCCTGACCATGAAATAACATGGGTCAGCGTTCATTTTTCCTCCTTCTCAGCCGCTCTTCATAAAATTAGGTGGTTTTTTCCGCAGTCTCTTTCATGACCACAGCAAGAACTGGTAATCATTTTTGCCCTGGGCACAGCGGTCACTGAAGTAGTGTTGGGCCCTGGGCTGCTGGTTATGGATGACAGCTGATGGGCACTGTGTTAGGCCGGGTTGACTAGAGAAACAAATCCAGAGACACTCATATATGTATCAGAAAGAGCTTTCTATCAAAGTGTAATAGTATATTAAGAAAGCATCCCTCTGAAGGGCCGACCCCAATCCCAACTATGTGGACCGCCCCCTCTCCCCACAGAAGAATTCACTTCAGAGGACAGCACTAAAGCTACAGCTCAGGGAGAAGGACATGACAGATCAGAGCGCACGGGAGCAAATGAAGGGGGAGGAAGAAAGAGTGGAGCACATCCTGGCCCACCAACCCCTAGGACGATATTCCCACTCAGAGCAGCCAAAGCACAGAGAGGACCATATGGCCGGCCCCACCCCGAGACATGACATCCCTCATGGACCCATAGCACTACAGGGGACAGCACTGGAGACACAGTGTGGGAATTGTGCTCCATCTGACCCCATGGCAGTGTGACAAAACACTAAGGGTGTGCAATAGAGCAGCAAGGGGGCAGAGCAATGGAGTCCCCAGGGAACACCAAAAATAGATTTGGGGGCTAGGGCGTGGCACCCCATCAGAGTCATCAGAAAACACTCCTAAAGGTCAACAAACAGACCTTGAACTAGTTACAGGCTTTTCTTTTCTTTTTTTGTCATTGTTTTTCTGTTGTTTTGTTTTGGTGTGCATATTATTATGTCTGCATGTCTATCTAGATAAGATAGACAGATAAACAATCAGGAGGAGAAAACAACCGAACCGTGAGGGAGGGAGGGAAAGGGAGGAAAGGGGAAAAATGAGGAGCTGATACCAAGGGCTCAAGCAGAAAGCAAATGTTTTGAGAATGATGATGGCAACAAATGTACAAATGTGCTTGACACAATGGAGTGGGTGTGTACATTGTGATAAGAGTTGTATGAGCCCCAATAAAATAATTTTTTAAAAAAGAAAGCATCCCAGCCCAGTCCAGATCAAGTCCATAAGGCCGAATAAATTAGCCCATAAGCCCAATGCTAGTCCTCAAATCCTTCTTCAGACTCAGGCAGTCACATGCAGTGATGCAGAATGCAGGAGGATCACAGGTCGCTAGGTACAAAGAAGACTTGTGGACCCCATGGCGGTGGGAGCATCAGCACTGGCGCAGGGCTCCACGTGGCTCCTCTAGCTCTCCAAGTGTGGCTATTCAACAGGAAGGTGAAGCAGAGAAGTGGGCCTTCACAGGTCTCCCCAAGTCTTCGCATGGCTTGTCAACAGGAAAAAGGCAGAGAGGGGGTGGTTCCAAGAATCCTCATGGGAAGGCCACTCCCACAAGGTGGCATCTTCAGGCTGTGACCTGATTGACAGGCTAGGTTCCACCCCTACATTTATTTAGCAAGTTGACATAAAACTATGTAACTACCACAAATACTTTATCAGAGGAGCTACTTTTGCTGCATCTTCTAGGCTTTCTCCACCAGCCATTCAGATTCAGGTTGAACCAATACTAACTGAGTGGCAGGTGTGTCAGGGGCTTCCACCTTGCTGACCGTGGAGATTTTTACAGAGGCCCTACATTGTGCCAGTTGCCATGGCGTTATGATAAGATTAAAGCCAGCCCTACTGTGCTGTTCAGCTTTCACAGGGGAGGGGTAAAAGGAAAATGCCCCACAGTGAAGCAATTCTGACATTGTTGAGGGCCAGACTACGGCGTGCTCACAGTATGAACGCAGTAGGCGTTTCAATACAGAGAGTGTTGGGACTGCAGGACCTGGGACACACTATGCGGGAGAGGTGGGCTTTGAGGGAGGTGTTTATAAGATTTTGAGAAGCCAATAGGACTGAGGAGGAGAGGGAGTCATTTAGGGACAGCGGCCCATTCTGACCCAAGGAAGAACAGAAGTAAAGATGAGTGTGGCCCCATGAATGCGGGAAATGAGGAAAAGGGAATTCTGGGATAGGGGGTCGGGGATGAGGAGCATTCGGGGCTAAGTAGACAGCTAGGGGGGTACTGGATTAAAGGCCCAGGGGGGTTGTAGTCAAAACAGGCCATAAAAAGTATGATAGACATTTAAAAATATATAAATTCATTACATGTTTTCTGCATTTGACGCATCATGAGGCAAAATAAAAAAGACAGATTTCTTTCCAAAAATAACTTTTAAGAGTACAGTGGCCCTTTGTTTCTAGAGTCCGCACAGCAATGCTGCTTTGAGTGTCATCCTCCAATCTCCCACTTTGCTCCTGTTTTTCCTCAGAGTCCCTGGAGCCCACTTACCAGCAGCTTCAGAAAATGAAACTGGACAAGAGTCCCTTCGTGGTTGTGTCTGTGGTCGGGCAGGAGCTCCTGACGTCTGGCCACCATGGGGCCTCCGTGGTGGTCTTAGAAGCTGCTCTGAAGATCGGCACCTGCAGCCTCAAGCTGAGAGGCTCCGTCTTCTCTGCCCTGAGCAGTGCTCACTGGTCGCTCGGGAACACGGAGAAGAGCACAGGCTACATGCAGCAGGACTTGGATGTCGCCAAGACCTTAGGTGGGTGGATGCTTGACTGGAGGGCCGGAAGGGCGCCAATGGGGCTGACACCTGCAATGGGATCTAGAGCAGGCTCTTGTTTCACAGTACCCAGGTCTTTGGGGGCAGCCATGTCACAGGTACCGAGACCTCGTGCAAGGCAGAGTTAATTAATTAAGTAAGTAAGTAAGGTAAATTAATGCACCAGGGCCTCCTCAGAGGTTTGGACTCGCTGACTTAATCCCCAGCATTAGCATTGGCAGGCAGGTGCATCTCTCATCTTAGTCTTCGTTGTTTTGTCGCAGGATACGCGCCATCATTTTTTTGGAGGGGGCAGCCTGGTGCAGTGGTTAAGAGATTGAACTATGGAGCCAGGCTGCTGGGTTTAGCATCCTCACTTGGCCATTTACTGGCTCTGTGATCTCGGGCAAGTGACTTTAGCTCTGCATGCCTCAGTTTCCTTGGTGGAAAAATTGATGACTGATTATTCGTGGGCCAGGTAGGATTGCAGCAAGCGGATGCAGTGACTCCACCATTGGTATCCTTGTAAAGAGGCAAAGCGCTCTAATGGCATGGAGTCAAATGACTGAACCAACAAGCTGATGGTTGTTCAGCATTCAGGGTCATTTAGCAGAGCAGTGAGGAGACTCAGACAGCAGCTGGTTTGTGTCATGGTCTTTAAGCTCTCGTTTCCAGGGCACCTAACCCTCTGCTTGCATTGGCATGTTATGAAGACAGTAACAGTTCTTTCCCAGAGATTTAAGTTCTAGGACAGGGTCTTGTGGGTGGAAAAATATCCTATAAGATGACCAGGCTTACTGGTAGGATAGAGACTGGTGGGCACCCTGAGTCTGTAACCCTTAGTCACTGGCAAGTCTCGTACAGAACTCACCCTCACGGCTTAATTTTCTGTCAGACAGGAGCTCTACAAGGGGAACAGTGACACCAGGGAAGTCTACACACCTCAGAGTCATCAGCCACCTGAGATCAAAAGGGCAGACTGTGTGTGTGTGTGTGTGTGTGTGTGTGCAGGATAAAGTTCAGAAGACTAAGGACAGAAGCAATGGAACAGGAAGCACAGGGAGGAAGGGGGTTGAGTGGCTTTACTCTGTGGGGGAAGCAATGAATGAGATGAAACAGAATGTATCCAAATTCTGGATGCTCTGCCAACCTTCACCCAAGTCACAATAAAAACTATGAAAAAAAACGAAAAAGGGAAATCTTAATCTGGCTTTTCAATTGAAATGTCCCTTATGTATTAAAAACTATGCTGTAACTTAAGTTTTCTCTGTCTCTCTCTTTTTAAACAATGCAGGTGACCAGACAGGGGAATGCCGAGCTCATGGGAATCTGGGCTCTGCATTCTTCTCCAAAGGAAATTACCGGGAGGCCCTCACCAACCACAGGCATCAGCTGGTGCTCGCCATGAAGCTCAAGGACCGAGAGGTAGGATGTTGAGCTGCAGGCTGAAAAATCACTATCATCATTTTGAGACTTAGAGTCGTCTCATTTATTTTCTCTCTTCAAGATATTTCAGATACCTCAGGTATTGGAGGTCTACCATGTGTAGACCTGGGTTTGTAGAAATTGAGACCCGGCCCTTCACTTCAACAGTTAACTGCCTGATGGATTAAGTTGCTCAGATTGTCTCCAAAGTAGGAAGCTGACTGATCTGTAAATTTAGCAAGGAACTATCTCACCATGATATACTTAATCCCTGGTCAGAAACAAACCTTACGCTTTACTTGAAATCAAATATTGTGGCCGCAAGCCCTCCATGGTGTTTGCTTTGGTGGATTTTAATTCAGGTGGTGGAAGCATATTTTGTCCAAGAGACCTGCATGGTAATGAGAAAGAAAGAGCATCCTAGTCTCTGTTGGTGAAAAGAGATGTAATATTCTCAGTGTTGATATGTATTGGATGTGACAGGGTGAGGAAGTGCCTGTGGAGCTGAAAGTCTCTGTCAAGTAGACCCAGATATGAATCCTGCTTGTAGCACTTCCTGGCTGTGAGAACTTAAGGAAGTCTTTACTTATCCTCTCACGGCTTCTGTTCTTTTGTTTAGGAAACAATGGAGATTCTATTTATCTTCCACGTGGCTGTGGTAGGGTTATAAATAATATATGCTAAGTGCTTAGCATGGTATAGACTCGTAATTAACTGGACATCTTAATCCTTCATCTCTGAAACCAGCCACCACTTGATAAGAGTGGAGTTGATTTTGTTTAGGTTGCAAGGTTTTGTTGGCTAGTCTCATGGAATTTAATGGATCTCCTTTATCTCATGTTCTTATGAGGCACGTACTAGGTGCAGCTTCCTGTGCTGAGCATTTGGGGACAGGGAGTGTGATGTGGGTTGTACATTCTATTTGAGGCAAGGTTTCAGCACAATGACCATGTTCAAACAGGGCTTGAGGAATGCCCTCTGGTGGCTTTTAAGACACAGGAATTCCACAGAGTCATAGTTTGACAAGTCTTCATGAAACAGGTGCCACTCAAACTGGGCCAGGAGAAATAGAAATGGGCCTGTGAGGTTGTCAAACCTGGACAGCATCCCAGTCCTGTTTTACTGAGAGATGAGATATGGATCCTGCCTTCAGCACATATTTGATATTCACCACCTTCCCCTTCAGCACAGGGAGAAAGACAGGGCTCTTCACTCCTGTAAAGAGATACAGTCTTAGAAACCCACCAGGGTAGTTCTATCCAGACTATAGGGTCACTATGAATCAGCATCAACTTGGTGGTCATAAGGTTTTTTTGTTTTCTTCAGTATAGTCAGAGGCTATTGGTGTTTAACAGAGGCAGTATTCGTTAGCTCCATCCATTTACACAAGAAATACATGATTCTTTTTTTTAAATCGTTTTATTAGGGGCTCATACAACTCTTATCACAATCCATACATACATCAATTGGAAACACTTGATTCTTATAAGAAATTTGGATTTTCTAGTGGTTACGAGTTGGGTTGCTAACTGTAGTTGAAACCACCAGCTGCTTTATGGAAGAATGGCCAGGCAATTCTTTGCACCTCCTGTAAAGAGTACAGTCTCAGAACCCACAGGGGCAGTTCTACCCTGTCCTACAGGGTCGCTATGAGCAGGCATCAACTCAATGACGGTGAATTTGATTTTTTTTTAATATATGGAAAAGGAAACCCACCCATAAGGCTACCACATTGTTAATATTTTCTGTGAGATATATAATGTGATTGTAATTATTAATATCTATATTTTAAAATCAGGATCCTCTTGTAGCACCGTTCTATAACTTTTCTCCCACTTATTTTTTAACATTTCTTTATTAAATGTTCTGAAAATCTCATGTCTCATGTTATCATAATTTATTTAATCTGCCCCTCTACTGTTAGATATTAGGTTGTTTGAAAATGTTTGGGGTTATCTAATCTTTTAGCATGTCTTTACTCATTTGATTTGATTACATTATTCAAAGTAGAGTTGCTTGTGCAAAACATACAAAAGCTGCTTGAGACTTCTTGCTAAATTGTTCTCAGAGAGGGTGCACATCTTTTCAGTCCTACCAGCAATGAATCAGACCTTTCATTCCCTGTAATGGCCAACACCAGGCACGACCGCTATTGTTGTCAGGTATGATTGAGTTGTTTTTCTGGCTATAAAAGACCCTGTGTGTACAACTGAATGAAACAGTGCCCTGTCCTACACCGTCCTCACTACTCTGCTTGAGACCACTGCTGCCACCACTGTGTAATCTATTTGGTTGAGAGTCATCCTCTTTTTTGCTGGCCCTCTACTTCACCAAGCATAGTGTTCTTTTTTTGTCCTTTCAGTTTTTAATGAACTTGTAAACCAAAAAAAAAAAGGTTCCCATTTCAAAATAAAATCGAAATCCCAGATCATATAGATGTTTACAGTGATTACATTTATCTAAGCAACATACATACACGTTCAATAGTAAGATGGTAACTAATTTTCTGTGACAAATATGTTTTTTTCTTTAACACCAAGAGCATTATAGAGTGATTGCAGAGTCCTAAAGATGATCTAGAAGTCACCCAGCACGGTGCTCTTTTCCAGGGCCAGCTTCCTCCTTACAATAAGTCCAAAGAATGTGAGAGGCCCAGTCTTGCCATCCTTGCTTCTGAAGAGCAACTTCTTCCGAGAAAGATTTGTTTGGTTTTTTGGGCAGTCCTTGGTACTTTCAATATTCTTCCCCAGCACCGTCATTCAAATGCATCCGTTCTTCTTTATTCTTCCTTATGCGTGGTCCAGATTGTTCCAGGTCTGTGATTCGATGGAAAGTACCTGGCTTGGGTCAGGCACAACTTAGTCCTCATGGGGACACTTTTGCTTTTTAATACTTCAAGGAGGTCTTTTGCAGCAGATTTGCCACTGCGATATGTCACTTGTTTCCTCACTGCTGCTTCCACGAGCCTGAGGACGGATCCATGTAAAATGCATCTGTTCCCTCTCTCTGTTCATCACGATGCTGCTTGATGGTCCAGTGTCAGGATTTTTGTTTTCTTTACATAAAGGGAAAAAAACCACATCATCCTGAAAGCTGCAGTCTGTCATTGTCATCAGCATGTGCTTCAAGTCCTCTTCACTTTGAACAAGCAAGGTTGTGTCATTTGCATACTGCAGGTTGTTAATGAGTCTTCCACAGTGCTGATGGAACATTCTCCTTTCTGTAGTCCTGTGTCTCTGATGATTTATTCAGCTTACAGATTAAGTGTGGTGAAAGGATATAACCCTGGAGCACACCGTGCAGCATTCCCTTGTTCTGTCTGAATGGCTGCCACTTGGTTTATGTACAAGTTCCACGTGAACACAGTGAAATGTCCTGGAATTCCCATTCTTCACAGTGTTATCCATAATTTGTTATGCTCTACAGAGTCGAATGCCTTCGCATAGTCAATAAAACACAGGTAGACACCTTTCTGGTATTGTCTGCTCTCAGCCAAGATCCATCTGACATCTGCATTGTATAATCCCTGGAGACTATTATTAGAACTAAAACTGCCAATGTAGTAGGATAAAAGGAAGAGGAGGTATCTAATTGTTTTAATTTGCATTTTTGTATCTACTGAAGGTGACTATTTAAAAAATGTCTTTTAGCACTCTACTATTCTATTTTTAAACATTGTGACCATGTTTATTTATATTGGTCTGATCTGGGCTTACTATATCACCCCACTGAATTGTTGGTCAATTGTGTTCTATTAGCACAGAGTTTTATTTATTGTTGCTTTGTAGAATATTTTCACATTGACCGCAAGCTCCATACCACTATTCTTCTTAAAACTGCCTAGACTGTTCTTGTCTCCCTTTCCCAACCAAATGAAATTTCAAATCAGCTCATTAAATTCTGATGATTCTTCCACTGGGGTTTTCATTGGTGTGGTATTAGGCTTACAAATCACCTGGGGATGGACTGCTGTGTTCTCAGTACTCCATCTTCTTGCTCAGGAGTCTGGTCTGGACCCACATTTATTTTTATGATCCTCACAAGTCTACTCCCCCCGCCCCCAGATATTTAATGAATCTCACTGTTGTAAATGAGGTTCCTTCACGGTTTGTGTGCATATTTAACAAGTTATTGATGGAAAAATCAATAGTAAAATAATTGATTTTGTGTTCCATAGTTAGCCAAGTGACCATTCTTTTGAACAGCTCCTCTCTTTCTCTTGAGTCTTGTTTTCTATTTATACAATCAGAATGCCTGTGAATAATGGTGATTTTGTATGTTTCTGTCCCTGCTTTTTTTCCTTTCATCATCGTGGTAGTTGGGACCTTAAGAACTCTTTGAACCAGCACGCTTTCTTTCTTGAGTAGCAACAGTTCACAGTGTGCTTTTTATTCGCATCCTTGTATATTGTATCTGTGACCTCGAACTGGACCATGTTTCCCTCTTGCATTGTTTCCATAGTGAAATAAAATCAAGAAACTGCCCTCCGGGGGCAGAAAGGAGCCACCCCGAGTGCTATGATTGCTGGAGAGACCACATCCTATCTTTCTGCCTTTTACATTGTTGGCTATTTTTAAACTTAAAGACTTTTCTCAAGTGGGTCGAATGCCTGAAACTAATATGCCCACTTAGCTTAAAACCCATCTTGGAATATTCAGAGGCCCACTGGGAACAGGACTTCCAAATAGGCAAAAATCAGAGACAAGAAAAGTTCATGGAAAAACG